CGTTTTTGGGGTGCAGTTGGCAGAAATGGGCTCTTTTCACCCCGTTTTGGGGCCCCGCAGCCCCGGCGGGAGCTCAGCCGCCCCTCGGCTGGGCAGGAACCGCCTGATAAGAGCGAGAAAACCCCAAAGTGGTGAAAAGCACCAGAGTTCCAGGAAAAAGCAGCGGCGCCCCCCGTTCCCCAAAATCCCTTTTTTGGCCAAACCGCGGCTCGGGGCTGGGCTGGCTGGGGGAGCCCCGTTCCCAGCTGCGGGAATTGCAGGGAGGAGGCCCCGGGGGTGATTTTTTGCCCGTTTCTGCCGGGTTTTTGCCCCGATCCGGAGTTGTGTAAGCGCCGGCGCGCCGGGGTCCCGCTGTGTCACCGCTGTCCCCCGCCTGTCCCCCGGTGTCGCCCTCCCGGGCCCGCTCCGTACCTCGGCTCTGCGGCGGGGGGCGGCGCTCCCGGGATCGCCGCTTTCGGTTTTTGGGGGGGAGAGAAAAAAAGCAGCGGCAAAAGGGAAAATTCTCACCCCAAAGTTCCTGGAGCAGGAAGGCGAGGCCGCCCCCCGCCCTCCCCCCCCCAGCCCGAGACTCCTCCCTGCGCCGCTCCCTCCCCAAGGGCGTGGGGAGGCACCGAGCCGTTTTGGGGGGGTTTGGGGGGTGACTTTGGGGGGATTTTGGGGGGGTTTGGGGCTGTTCGGGATCCTGCGGGGTTTGCACCGCATTGGGGGGGGAGGGGGCGGGGGTGGGGCTGGACATGGGGGGGACATTGGGGGGGTGGGGAATAGGGGGGGGGACACGGGAGGGACACGGGGAGGGACATTGGGGGGGGTGGGGAATAAGGGGGGACATTGCAGGGACATTGGGGGGGTGGGGACACGGGGGGGACACTGGGGGGACATCGGGGAGGGACATTGGGGGGGTGGGCAGGGGTGGGACACGGGGGGAAATTGGGGGGGTGGGCAGGGGTGGGACACGGGGGGGACATCGAGGGGTGGGCAGGAACTGGGGGGGACATTGGGGGGACAAGGGGGAGATGGACACAGGGGGACATTGGGGGGACTGGACGGGGGTGGGACTTGTTGGGGGACATTGGGGGGGACAAGAGGGAGAGGGACACAGGGGGGCCGGGCAGGACAGGGACATGGGGGGGACATCGGGGGGTGGGCAGGGGATGGGACATTGAGGGGACATTGGGGAGATGGATATGGGGGGGACATTGGGGGTGGGGGGGACATTTGGGGGGATGGACACGAGGGGGAAATAGGGGGGTGGGACATTGGGGGACATCGGGTGGTGGGGGGGATACTGGGGGGAACATTGAGGGGGGGGACATTGGGGAGGTGGGGAATGGGGGGGACATTGGGGGGACGGACACGGGGGTGGGGACATTGGGGGGACATTGGGGGGGATGGACACGAATGGGGACATTGGGGGACATTGGGGGGATGGACACAAATGGGGACATTGGGGGACATTGGGGGGATGGACACAGAGGGGGGACATTGGGGGGGTGTGGGGGACACTGAGGGGACACTGGGGGCACCGGCCAGGGTGGGACAAGGGGGCCATGGACACCCCCACCCCCAAGCCAGATCCCACTCCCCATTTTTGTTTTTTCACCATTTCTCCCACAGGAAAAAAAAAAACCACGACAAAAAACCCCAAAATTAAGCATTTTTTTAATATGCGTTGCCCCGTTTTCTACATTTTTTTGCCCCATTTTCCACATTCCTCCCCAGAAATGGGGCAGCAGGGAGGGGCCTCGGGGAGAAAAGAGCAATTCTGGGCAATGTGGGAGGGGTTTGGGTGAGAAATAAAACAGAAATGGAAAAAACAAAAACCTGAGAAGATTTCACCCCAAAGCATCAGTTGGGATGGCAGGAAAGAGACACTTGAGAGCAAAAATGGGGTTGGGTTAAAAAACCCCAAAATTGGTTGGGTAAAAACCAAAGAAAATGAACTGAGGGGGTGGCACAGCCCCAATTCCTGCAGGTTTTACCCCAAATCCGGTGGGGAGCAGCCCCAGGTCCAGGGGGGTTTGGGACAAAAACCAAAAAAAACCCCAAATTTAGGGGCAAAAATAAAAAATAAAAAAGAAAGAAAAGCCCAGTTCTGGGCCACGAGCAAAAAGGGGCCAAATTTAGGGTTAAAAAACAAGAAAAAAGGGCCCAATTTGGGGTCAAACAAAAAAAAAGGCAAATTTCCACTGGAAAGGGCCCTAAATAAAAGGGAAATTCAGTCAAAGTTGCTGTAAAATTCCCAGTTTTGAGAATTTCTTTTGCCCTGGCCCTGTCTGGGCTTTCAGGGTTATCCCAGGGTTGGTTTTGGGTGGGAATCGGGGATTTTGGGTAAATCTGCAGCAATTTGGGAATGGGAATTGCAGGAGGACTCTGAGGGTTTGGGGTTTGACACCTTTGGGGTTAATTAGGGCTCCTCATTAGGGTTCCCTACTTCATTAATGGAGGCATTGCTTAATTAGCTCCCCCCACTTCATTAGCAAGAATATCCCTGCTTCATTAGAGCCCCCCTAGTTCATTACAGGGGCTCAATTAGGGCCCCGTCGCTTAATTACTGAGGGCATCATTAAGACCCCTACTTGATTAGGAGGTGTGTAAGGCCCTAATTAAGGCGGGGCTTCGTTAAGGGGCCTAATTAAGGACTCACGGGGCAGGGGATTCCATCGCTCATGGGCAGCCAGCAGGCGCCATGGCCAGCAGGTCCTGCAAAATGGGGTAAAAACAGCTGGTTTAGGTAAAAAAAACAACTCAGTTCAGGCAAAAATGTTGTTCCCTATTAAAAAGAAATAGAACAAAAAGTTGGTTTTGTTTGGACTGACCTTGTCAGAGAGCCTGGAGAGAAACGTTGGCACCACGGTGTCTTCTTGAAGAGGAGAAAAAACAATAAAAAAAATTAATTTTGGGGGAAAACCGCCTGGTTTGGGGGGTCTGGGATGTGAAAGGAGGGGGATTTAACACCCAATTTGGGACAGTACCTCAAAGACCCCCAGAACAAGAATTAGCATTTAACCCCCTTAAACTCCAAGTGACGCCAAAAGCCCCCAAATCCAACCCTTTTTAATGCCTAAAAAGCCCGAAATCCCCCCAAAACCACAGCAAGCGTTCAACCCCAAAAGCTCAGAGCGAGCCCCAGGTTTAACTCCGTCTTGTACCTCTCTGCCTCATTCATGCCGCAGGATTAAAACCTTTCTCTGAAGTTTAATCCATCCTTCTTCGCTATATTTTAATAAAATTTAAAGTGCTGAAGTGATTTTCTGCTGCCAAAAGAGGAAAAAAGCGGCAAAATCCCCTCAGGAGCTGTGGAGCCTTCCCGCCTTTTTCCTTCGCCTCAGGCGACGTTAGCCCCCGCCCCTTCCCGGGGGCCGCCTCCTATAGGCCGCGAGGTCAGGCCGCCAGCCAATCAGAAGGGCAGATAATGACTAAGCCACGCCTCTCTCTCCAGTTTTTCGCGATATCAGCCAATCAGAGATGAGGCGCGCAAATGAGGACGTCGCTGATTGGGTGAGTGCCGTGAGTGAGAAAGTGTGAAGGGAGGGGCGGTTTGTGAGGGGTTGTGAGGGGGAAGGGGAATCGGGGAAGGCGCTGCGGACGCGAAGCATCGGGAGTGAAACGGGGAGAGGAGACAAACCCGGCTCGTGCTGGGGCGGCCCCGCGGAGCTGAGGGCGTCGCTCCCCTCGCCCGCTCCGCCCCTCCCTTAGCAACAGCCGCCGGCCAAGCGGCGTCGCGAGGGGAATTTTTTCTGATTGGCCGAGCCCCGCCACGCCCGGCCAATGAGCGCGAGCCACGGGACCCTGCGCGTCCCCCGCCCACCCCCCGCGCAGGCTGCGGGGCCGCTAGGAGCGTACCAAGTGCGGGCGTGCAGGGGGGGGGGAGCTCAGCGGTTCGGGGTTTACGGGGGTCACGGCCCCACACAATCCCCGTTCAGGAGAGAACGAGGGGGCTCCTCAGGATCTCTGTAGGGAGAGGACTGCTCTGGGGAGCGAGGTGTGGAGAGCAGGCAGGGAGTGAACCACCCCCGGACAGCGGGTGGTGCGGTCCGGGCGGAAGTGAGGTGTCGCTCGCTGAGGCGGTTCCGGTGTGGGAGCGGCCGGGACTGGGCTGGGGGGGCTGAGGCGGGGTCGGGCCCGGTGAGTCCCGGGGGGCTCCGGGGGCGGCAGCGGCGCCTGGGGGCGGGCGAGGCACCGGGGCGGCCTCGGGAGGAACCGGGGGCAAAAGGGGGGCTCGGGGGGAGCGGAGGGAGCGGTGACAGTTGGGGTTCCTGGGGAGGAGGGGACGCGGATGTGAGGGGGGTGGGGGGGGCTGAGGGGCGTGAGGGGACATTGAGGGGGGACAGAGGGACAGGGAGGGGGACAGACGGACAGGGAGAGGGACAGAAGGACCAGAAGGACACGTAGGGGGGACAGACAGTGAGGGGGCAGACGGACATAGGGGAGCTGAGGGTTTGGGGACATGGGGGGGGACAGAGGGACATGGAGGGCACTGAGGGTTTGGGGACTGAGGGGACAGGGAGGGGGACAGACGGGACAGAGGGACAGGTGCCACGGAGGTGCCACCCGGGCACAGGGCGCCAGGTGCCAGCACACAGAATGGCGCTGGTCATGGCAGGAGCCTGATGGCTGATTCTGTGGTTAAATGTGGATTAATTTTAAGATTAAAATAGATTTTATTGGGGGTTTTAAATCTCTGGGTTTTGGCTGTCCCAGGCCGAGGCCATGCTGTGCACAGCCCTGGTCATGGCTGGCAGTTCATGACTGATTTTGGGGTTATTTTTTGGGGTTAAATCTCTGGTTTTTTGGCCATTTCAGGCCGAGGCCATGCTGTGCACAGCCCTGGTCATGGCTGGCAGTTCATGGCTGATTTGGGGGTTATTTTTGGGGTTGAATCTCTGTTTTTTGGCCATTTCAGGCCGGAGGCCATGCTGTGCACAGCCCTGGTCATGGCAGGACTCTGATGGCTGATTTGGGGGTTATTTTTGGGGTTGAATCTCTGGTTTTTTGGCCATTTCAGGCCCGAGGCCATGCTGTGCACAGCCCTGGTCATGGCTGGCAGCCTGGCGCTCACCACGGCGTGGTTGCCCATGCCTATTACCTGAAGCACCAGTTCTACCCCACCGTGGTTTACCTCACCAAATCCAGCCCCAGCATGGCCGTGAGTGCTTTGTTCTTTCTCAATCACCCCTAATTAACCCCTCATTAACCGACACCCTGCCTCACTTCTGCTTTTGGGGCTACTGAGGAGCTCCCCAAACCCCCTGGGGCAGCAGCGGGGGTGGTTCCACCCCATCCACCCCCCCAGGGTGGCTTTGGGGTACCAGAATCCCCCCAGGCTGTCCCCCAAAATGCTCCCCGGGCTCTGTGGCCCTGCAGGTGCTGTACATCCAGGCCTTCGTGCTCGTGTTCCTGCTGGGCAAGTTCATGGGCAAGGTTTTTCTTCGGGCAGCTGCGCGCGGGCCGAGATGGAGGTGAGAGCTCTGGGGGCACTTTGGACTCCAAAAGGTCTTTGGGGCTGATTTAGGGGGGAAGTTTTGGACTCCAGAAAGTCTTTGGGGGCTGATTTAGGGAGAATTTTGGACTCCAAAAAGTCTTTGGGGCTGATTTAGGGGGGAATTCTGGACTCCAAAAAGTCTTTGGGGCTGATTTAGGGGGAATTTATGACCCCAGAAATTCTTTGGTGCTGATTTAGGGGGGGTTTTGGTACCATTTGGGGGGATTTGTTGCCCTTTTGAGAGGAATTTGTGACCCCAGAAAAATCTTTGATGCTGTTTGGGGGGGAGAGAATTGATGCATTTTGGGGAAGGATTTTGAACCCCCAGGGGTTTTGGGGTGAATTTTGAACCCCCAGAGTCTTTGAGCCCAGTTTTGGGGTGAATTTTGAACTCCCAGAGTTTTTGGAGTGAATTTTGAACTCCCAGAGTTTTTTGGGTCCCATTTTGGGGTGAATTTTGAATCTCCAGGGTCTTTGGGCTCTGTTTTGGGCTGAATTTTGAACCCCCAGGGTTTTTTGGGCCCCGTTTTGGGGTGAGTTTTGAACTCCCAGAGTTTTTTGGGGTGAATTTTGAACCCCTCCCCCCCAGGGTTTTTGGGGTGAATTTTTGAACCCCTCCCCCCAGGGTTTTTTGGGGTGAATTTTGAGCCCCCCCAGGGTTTTTGGGGTGAATTTTGAGCCCCCCCAGGGTTTTTGGGGTGAATTTTGCACCCCCCCAGGGTTTTTTGGGGTGAATTTTGAGCCCCCCCCCCAGGGGTTTTTGGGGTGAATTTTGAGCCCCCCCCCAGGGTTTTCTGGGGTGAATTTTGAACCCCCCAGGGTTGCTGGGCCCCGTTTTTGGGGTCCAGCTTGGGGGGCTCCCCTGCCTCTGTCCCTCAGCACCTCCTGGAGCGCTCGTGGTACGCGGTGACCGAGACCTGCCTGGCCTTCACCGTCTTCAGGGACGACTTCAGCCCGCGCTTCGTCGCCCTCTTCACCCTCCTCCTCTTCCTCAAGTGCTTCCACTGGCTGGCTGAGGACCGGGTGGATTTTGTGAGTGTTGGCAGCAGGGAAAACAGCTCAAAAAACGGCCCAAAAAAACCCCCAAATCCAGCCCAAAAAATCAGCCAGAGTCAACCCAGAACCTGCCTGAAAGCAGCCAAAAAATAACCTGAAACCAACCTAAAAAATAGCCCAAAATCAGCCTAAACCAGCCCAAAAATAACCTGAAACCAACCTAAAAATAACCCAAAATCAGCCTAAACCAGCCCAAAAATAACCTGAAACCAACCTAAAAATAACCCAAAATCAGCCTAAACTAGCCCAAAAAATAACCCTAAATCAACATAAACCAGCCCAAAAATAACCTGAAATCAACATAAAACCAACCCAAAAATAACCCTAAATCAACGTAAACCAACCCCAAAATAACCCCAACTCAGTTCTAACCAGCCCTAAATCAGCCTTAACCAACCCAAAACCCCAAAATCAGCCCAAAACCACCCCCAAAAATAACCCAAAACCAGCCCAAACCCCACCTGAAATCAACCCTAAAAAATAACCCAAACCCACCCCAAAATTCACCCAAACCCACCCTAAACCCACCCCGAAATCAAACCCAAACCCCACATTTTTTAATGGGAAAATTTGCATTTTCCTCCCCACAGATGGAGAGGAGCCCCAACATCTCGTGGCTCTTCCACTTCCGCATCGTCTGTGAGTGCTCCTCATTTGCATCATTTTGGGGAACAACCCAAAAAAAACCCCCAAAAACCCCAAAAAAACGGCGCCAGGGCAGCCGCGCCTGCTGGGGCCTGATAACCCCAATTAGGCCAATCATCAGCCGCTTCGTTAACGAGGGGGGGCCGGGGGGGTTAACGAGCTCCGGGGAGGGAAAACAAGGCCCAGATCCAGGGCAAAATGGGCTGGAAAAATGGGATTTAGGGATTTACTGCCTGAAATTGGAAAGTAAAAAGAAAAATGGGATTTAGGAATGTGGTTCCCCAAAAAATAGGAAAAATGGGATTTAGGGATTTACTGCCTGAAATGGGAAACAATGGGATTTAGGGATATGGTTCCCAAAACTGGGAAAAATGGGATTTAGGGATTTACTGCCCGAAATGGGAACAATGGATTTAGGGATGGTGGTTCCCAAAACTGGGAAAAACGGGATTTGGGGATATGTTCCCCAAAATGAGAAAAATGGGATTTAGGGGTGTAATTCCTTCAATTTTTGAGGGAATTTTGGGGCTTTTTTTGGGAATGTTGAGGGGGCTGGGAGTGGAGGAATCTCCTAATTAAGCTCCTCATTAGTGGTGGGGGGTAGGACCCCCCCCCAGAGCTGCTCCCTGAGGGTGGGATCCGTTCATTTTATGGGATCTGTTCATTTTATGGGATCTGTTCATTTTATGGAAACTGTTCATTTTTTGGGATCTGTTTATCTTTTGGGGACCTGTTTATTTTATGGGGGTCTGTTAATTTTTTTGGGATCTGTTCATTTTATAGGATCTGTTCATTTTATAGGATCTATTCATTTTATGGGACCTGTTTCATTTTTTGGGATATTTTGTTGATTTTTTTGGGATCTGTTCATTTTTTGGGATCCGTTCATTTTTGGGGATCTTTTGTTCATTTTATGGGACCTGTTCATTTTTTTGGGGATCTTTTGTTGATTTTTTTGGGATCTGGTCATTTTTTGGGATCTGGTCATTTATTGGGATCTTTTGTTGATTTTTTGGGATCCGTTCATTTTATGGGAATCCGTTCATTTTATGGGATCCGTTCATTTTTTGGGGATCTTTTGTTCATTTTTTGGGGATCTGTTCATGTTTTGGGACCCATTCATTTTATGGGATCTGTTCATTTTTTTGGGATCTTTTGTTGATTTTTTTTGGGACCCGTTCATTTTTTGGGGATCTTTTGTTGATTGTTCTGGGGTCTCCTCCCAGCCCTGATGTTCCTGCTGGGGATCCTGGATTTCCTCTTCGTCAGCCACGCCTACCACAGCATCCTGACCCGCGGCCGCCTCCGTCCAGCTCGTCTTCGGCTTCGAGGTGCGTTGGGCTGGGGTCCTCAGGGGTCCCCATTGCCCCTCTCGGGGCGGGGGTGTCCCACCTGGGCCTGTCCCGTGTCCCCAGTACGCCATCCTGCTGACCATGGTGCTGACCATCTTCATCAAGTACGTGCTGCACTCCATCGACCTGCAGAACGAGAACCCCTGGGACAACAAGGCCGTGTTCATGCTCTACACCGAGCTCTTCACCGGTACCGGGGCTGGGGGGGCCCGGTTAGGCCTTGCTTAACGAGGAGGTGTCGGGGGGCGTGGGTTGGACAACGAGGAGTCAAAGTCTTGGTGGGGCTGGGGCCGGTCTGGGTTGGTCAATGAGGAGTCAAAGTCTTGGTGGGGCTTGGTTGGGTCTTGGTGGGGCTTGGTTGGGTCTTGGTGGGGCTTGGTTGGGTCTTCATTGGTCAACAAAGACTCAAAGTCTTGGTGGGGCTGGGCCGGTCTGGATTGGTCAACGAGGAGTCAAAGTCTTGGTAATGCTTCGTTGATCTCATTGGCCAACGAAGAGTTGAAGTCTTGGTGTTTCAACTGGTCTTGGTTGGTCAACTGAGACTTGCTCAACTCCCAAAATTGGTCCAGGTGGCTTTGGGGTCCCACTTTGTCACCTGAGCTGTCCCAAGTTGGCCCAGGTGGCTTTGGGGTCCCACTTTGTCACCTGAGCTGTCCCGCAATGTTCCTCCAATGTTGCTCCGTGGTTCCTCCCCAGGGCTGATCAAGGTGCTGCTCTACATGGCCTTCATGACCATCATGATCAAGGTGCACACGTTCCCGCTCTTCGCCATCCGCCCCATGTACCTGGCCATGAGGTGAGGCCTCCCGCCTGGGATCCTGATCCTGCTTCTGATCCTGATCCCATCCTGATCCCGGTCCCGGTTCTGATCCTGATCCCGGTCCCTGATCCCGATCCCATCCCGGTCCTGATCCTGGTTCTGATCCTGATCCTGATCCCGGTCCTGATCCCAGTCCTGATCCTGATCCCGGTCCTGATCCTGATCCCATCCTGATCCTGATCCTGATCCTGATCCCGGTCCTGATCCTGATCCCATCCTGATCCTGATCCTGATCCTGATCCCGGTCCTGATCCTGATCCCATCCTGATCCTGATCCTGGTCCTGATCCCGATCCCATCCCGGTCCTGATCCTGATCCCAGTCCTGATCCTGATCCTGATCCTGATCCTGATCCCATCCTGATCCCGATCCTGATCCTGATCCTGATCCTGATCCTGATCCTGATCCCGGTCCTGATCCTGATCCTATCCCAATCCTATCCCAATCCCCGATCCCATCCCGATCCCATCCCAGCCCCACTCCAACCCCGTTTTCCCCCCAGGCAGTTCAAGAAGGCCGTCACCGACGCCATCATGTCCCGCCGGGCCATCCGCAACATGAACACGCTGTGAGTGCCCCGGGTCCCTCCAAAAAACCCCAAATCGCCCCAAAACCCTGTGTGATCCACCCCAAAACCCCAAACCGCCCCAAAACCCTGTGTAATCCACCCCAAAACCCCCCAATCCACCCCAAAACCCCAAACCGCCCCAAAACCCTGTGCGATCCACCCCAAAAACCCTGTGCAATCCACCCCAAAACCCTGTGCAATCCACCCCAAAACCCCAAACCGCCCCAAAACCCTGTGCGATCCACCCCAAAACCCTGTGCAATCCACCCCAAAACCCCAAATCACCCCAAAACCCTGTGCAATCCACCCCAAAACCCTGTGTAATCCACCCCAAAAACCCCAAATCGCCCCAAAACCCTGTGCGATCCACCCCAAAACCCCAAATCGCCCCCAAAACCCTGTGCGATCCACCCCAAAACCCTGTGCAATTCCACCCCCAAAACCCCAAATCACCCCAAAACCCTGTGCAATCCACCCCAAAACCCTGTGCAATCCACCCCAAAAACCCCAAAATCACCCCAAAACCCTGTGCAATCCACCCCAAAACCCTGTGTAATCCACCCCAAAACCCCAAATCCTGGGAAATCCCTGCATTCATCCATCCCAAATCCCCAGCTGTGGGATTTTTGGGTCCATCTGTGGGATTTTCGGTCCAGCTGTGGGTTTTGGGTCCAGCTGTGGGATTTTGGGTCCAGCTGTGGATTTTGGGATCAGCTGTGGGTTTTGGGACCAGCTGTGGGATTTTGGGATCAGCTGTGGATTTTGGGTCCAGCTGTGGGTTTTTTGAGGACCAGCTGTGGGGATTTTGGGTCCAGCTGTGGGATTTGGGGTCCAGCTGTGGGTTTTGGGTCCAGCTGTGGGATTTTGGGTCCAGCTGTGGGATTTTGGGATCAGCTGTGGGTTTTGGGACCAGCTGTGGGATTTTGGGATCAGCTGTGGGTTTTTTGAGGATCAGCTGTGGGATTTTGGGGACCATCTGTGGGATTTTGGGTCCAGCTGTGGGTTTTTTGGGGTCCAGCTGTGGGTTTTTGGGGTCCAGCTGTGGGTTTTGGGACCAGCTGGTGGATTTTTTGGGACCAGCTGTGGGATTTGGGTCCAGCTGTGGGATTTTTGGGTCCAGCTGTGGGTTTTTTTGAGGACCAGCTGTGGGATTTTGGGTCCAGCTGTGGGTTTTTGGGACCAGCTGTGGGATTTGGGTCCAGCTGTGGGATTTTGGGTCCAGCTGTGGGATTTGGGGTCCAGCTGTGGATTTTTGGGTCCATCTGTGGGATTTGGGTCCAGCTGTGGGTTTGTGGGTCCAGCTGTGGATTTTTTGGGTCCATCTGTGGGATTTTGGGGTCCAGCTGTGGGATTTGGGGCTCTCCTGGCCCAGGTACCCCGACGCCACGGCCGAGGAGCTGCAGGCCATGGACAACGTGTGCATCATCTGCCGTGAGGAGATGGTGACGGGCGCCAAGCGCCTGCCCTGCAACCACATCTTCCACACCAGGTGCTCCTCCTGCCCGGGGACGGGGGCTCTGGGGGCTTTGGGGGGGTTTTGGGGTGGTTTTGGGGATTCTGGGGGTGGTTTTTGGGGGTGGTTTTGGGGGGGTTCACTGCCGCAGTTCTGCTGGCCTGCAACAGCAATCCTGGTCCTGATACTGATCCCAATCCTGATCCAAATTCTGATCCCAATCCTGATCCTGATCCCAATCCTGATCCAAATTCTGATCC